AAGGTAGAGAAGAAGGACTCGAAGGAGTATATCTGTACAGGGAGAACCACCGATAATATTATGGAAAGTATGGAGTATGTTCTACGCGTGGAAGGTAATTCCATCAAAAGTTTCATCGAATAAGTTACATAATATTAAATATCGAGTTTGTTCCAATGTTGTATTTTATATCAGATGCGCGAGCACCTGCTTTTACTGACACCAACATGAACGAAAGCGAAGTGACGATCGATTTAAATGAACAAGGTCACGAAACGATGATTCTTAAATGTTTCGTAAGCGGTATGCCCAAACCAAACATAACTTGGTACAAGGTGAGCAATTGATAATAATATCGATATCGCTGACAATTTTAACCATCTCGAATATTTTCAACAGGACGATACATTATTGGTAAATAACGAGCAATACATGTTTCTCTCCGGCCATCAAGTACTTCATATAAAGTATTTCCTGGAGAAGGACAGTGGAATGTATTCGTGTCGAATAGCGAATCGTATCGGAAAATTGGAAGCTCGCAGGCAGATAACGATAAAAGGCAATTCACGAGATTATAAATTACTTTATTTTTTATTAGCGTTCACGTATTAATTACTGTCCGCTTTTACAGGGAAAGAGCTTTCGAAAGGACTGATCATATCAATCGTCGTCGTAATTCTCATCCTTCTAGCTCTAGTTGTGTATTTCTTCGTCAAAGTCCGTCGCGAAAAGGTGCCTTCAATTTTTGTGCAATTGTTACTGGTGGGTTTTAGGAAGCAACGATATATTTTGGTAACTGTTCCGTTGTTCCAGGTGATGAGAAAGGTATTAATGGCGGCAGGTTTGATGCACTTCGAGGAGGGAGCGGTGGAGTGTTTGAATCCAGATTTGACGGTGGACGATCAAGCGGAATTACTTCCTTACGACAAGAAGTGGGAGTTCCCTAGGGAGAGGTTAAAATTAGGTAAAGTGATTTTAAGTTTCCATCCGAAAAACCCTTTATAATTTTGTTACAATCACTCATAACGACCTTATATTTCCTCCTTATTTTTCACAGGGAAAAAGCTGGGAAGTGGTGCATTCGGAGTCGTCATGAAAGCGGAAGCTCAAGGGATCTGCGAAGAAGAAGGTGTCACCACTGTTGCCGTAAAAATGGTGCGGCGCACAACCGATCCCACTTATGTTCGCGCGCTTGCCAGCGAATTAAAAATCATGGTGCACCTTGGAAAGCACCTGAACGTCGTCAATCTGCTTGGCGCTTGCACAAAAAATATTTCAAAACGTATGTGTACCAGAGAGGACCAAGAACAGAATAGGCGCGTTGAGATTAATTTATTATGTTCCAACAGGCGAGTTGTTGGTGATCGTCGAGTACTGCCGATTCGGAAACTTGCACAATTATCTACTGCGACATAGGGACGATTTTATCAATCAGATAGATCCAGCTACCGGGAAATGCGATCCTGTTATCGGTATAGATCTCCTGACTAGGACTGTCAGCGTTGGCAGTAACAGCAGGTTTGGTTTAATTCGTTCTTTGTCACGTGTTAATAACCACTATCACCGTGTTTCATTATCGGCTGCAAACTGTGCACGGAATGCAAGCAAGGAAGACAACGACGCTAACTGACTTTTGTTATAACATTTGTTTACTGATGAACGTGCTAACGTCGATTGTAATCGCCAGACTGCCGATGTTTATGCAAATTGAGATTTTTATAGATACAGAAGTGGAATTGATAGTTGTTGATATTTTATGTATTTCTTCATTCTCGTGGATTTAAACATCCGCAGTCTAGTAATGGCTAAACTACTATACTCCTAATGTGTCTTACCGATAACAATATAAAAATACTTATCGCATGCAAAGGGTTGCGGTGTTAACCACGTTCTTCTGTTTTCTTCTGTCCGCACGATAGGATAAAATATGCGGCATTGTCATTTTCTCGCAGTCTTAGCGCAAACTCTGGCACCGATTCGGTGCAATATCAAGGTGGCGGTGCCATGGATTCCCAAGGTGTAACTATGACACCGGACGGCTGCGTCCTCAGCAACGGCTCAACCCAACCAGGATGGAGATCCAACTATCGCGGCGACTATAAGGATTACAACTTGAAACCAATCTGCACGCAGGACTTACTGTCTTGGGCCTTCCAGGTTGCGCGAGGAATGGAATATCTTAGTCATAGAAAAGTACGTTGATACATGTTAATTTATAATTGTTGATTAATATATGGAAAATAACCTAACTCATCTCGGATCTCTGTATAACGTGGATACATAATTTCTAGGTGTTACACGGTGACTTAGCCGCGAGAAACATTTTGCTCGCCGAGAATAATATAGTGAAGATTTGCGATTTCGGCTTGGCGAAGACGATGTACAAGGATGACAATTACAAGAAGAAAGGGGATGGCCCGTTGCCTATCAAGTGGATGGCTATCGAATCGATCAGAGATCGGATCTTCTCGACGCAGTCGGATATTTGGTCGTTTGGCATAGTTCTGTGGGAGTTTTTCACCCTGGCTGAGACGCCGTATCCAGGAATGGAGGCGGAAAAGCTGTATCAGAAGCTAATCGAAGGTTACAGGATGGAACAACCGGAGTACGCTACGTCCGAAGTGTACGTTACGTTTACATACGTACAAATTATTTGTATTTGTATCATTTGTCTTTCGTTTAACACCGCGAATTTATAGGTACGCCATAATGCTGCAATGCTGGAAGGCCAAGCCTACGCTGCGGCCAAGTTTCACGGAATTAGTTCAGAGTATAGGCGATTTGTTGGAAGACAGCGTGAAAGCGGTAAGTTTGTTCTACTCGCTTGTTTACAGCATTTTCTTAGGGTATTATTATTTAGCGTTATCTTATTAATCGGCTTCGTTTTATTACAGCATTACATCAGTCTGAATGCTCCCTACATGGACATGAACACAATAATGCTGGAGAGCGGTAAAAACGATTACTTGACCATGTTGTCTGCGCCTGATCACACTATACTCTCTTCGCCTGGCCACGAGTACACAAATTCGCCCATGGTGGAGAATTCAGGGGACGCAGCCTATCTGTGCATGAGTCCAATGAGTCCAATGAGTCCTTTGAACGAGTCAGGGATATTCAGCCCCAGACCGCATCCCGAACGAGGTCACTTTGAATTCCCCTCGCCTACGTCCGATTCGGAAGACGCCATCGAGCTGTCGCCCATGCTCAAGAAGGAGGAGGAGGATCCTTACTTGAAACCCATCAACGTGCACGAACGGAGGGCTGAGTTTGCTAGGAAGAGGCAAGCTATGAAGGATCAGCCGATCGACAGACCGATCGACCGCGATTCCGGTTACTGCAACACGCCGCGGAATCTCCATTTAATAGATCTGAACGAGAAGAACAAAAACCCGGATAGAACAGAAGGGAACGACAAGGTTGATTCGGTGGAAAAGGACTTCGCGCCCTCCATCATCAGGACGCAGGACAATTACGTGAACATGCCTCAGCAGAAAATCGACATGAGGAAGGACATGCCTGATGGATTCAGTAATCCCAGCTACGTGATGATGAGTACTCGAGAAGTGGATCAGACGAGAGTTTGAACTACCGGTGTCGCATAGAAATCTTTCAAGATTTTCTAAAATTTTCTAAAATAGCAGGTCGTATCGACCGTATACGTATGTGTTATGTAACGTGTGTACATTGACTCTGTTTGCTATTACATGTTATTTACGATGTGCCATGACAAAACGCTGCGCTTGGCGAGCCTTTATTCAAAGATTGGGACCAAGAAGAAACCAAACGCTTTAAACGATGTACTTACTGTCGAGGAGAATGCTCGACGAATAAAAATGAAACTCGAATTTAATTACCCCGCAGAGGAATATATAGTATTCTAACTAAATTTCAGATGTATAATTTACGTAAATGTAAGACGCGAATAAAGTAGACTCGCTTATCGGTACTTAATACTCAATGTATCGCAGGTTAGGTCACAGGGTTCAGTGTTACGAGCCTGAGGAATTTATCTATGTATTGCAACCAAAGCCAACGTTAACGAAATGTGTGTATTCGTCGTACAAGCAATTTTTATAACAAAGTCTATTAAATTAATTAATTTAGAATCTTGTAAAATAAAATTTTTACGTACGAACGCATTGTTTTCATTGGAAAAAGGACTAGGTTTGTGGTAATTAATGTTGCTTAAAGGACGAATTGTTAAACTCCTACGTCGTTAACAATCCTAATTGCATAGGGGACGTCGTGCATGGTAACGTTGCTGCGAATGCGGCGGCCACGTTTGCCTATACCAGAAACTAAGTCTTCCTTGTATTTCAACCATCTGAAAAACAGAGAATTGATCAACGCATCAGGTAAGCAGTGAAACAACCTCGTACCTGCGATTTTTAACGAATTCTCTAAACAATTGTTCTCTTGTAGGATACTTGGAGTCCATGAACAGTTTCACGCGTTCCCAAATATTGGCTCGATTATGTTCGTTCAGGAAGTATCGAGGAATCAAAAAGCACCGTACATGCGTCGTGGATACTATTCTTCTGTTGTGCATGTTCTCTCCTAAATTTAAAGCATCGTCGATACAGTTACTAAAACAGTGACGAAAGGTAAACATAAAACGTACATTACCTAAGCCAAAACACGCTCCTCTGTTGAACGTACAAATTTGCATAAATATCGTTCTCACGTTTTCAGGATAACATTGTTGCGATATAGAAGACGGTTCTCTCATCAGCATCTCCGCTACGTCGGTGACTTTATGCCATTGGTTTATCTTTTGATTCAAGTTAATTCATATTTGTTTGCTATTAATGCATAAACATCCGCCGTCTGACTGTAACATTTATAAATTCTGTACTTACAACGTCCAAAAGCGTGGTTGTAATAATGCTGGCACGTTCAAAATCCATTTGTCTGTCTGGTCTTGATGGTAACGCGATGCGACTGTAGTTTATGGAAGATTGACGACTGTCGTCATCGTCGAGAATGCTTGCCTTTGAAAATAATTTAATTTGTATATATGTTATACATTCTTTATTTTTCTTGCAGGGGAAAAGGAGTGGTAACTGGTTAATAACTGCCTCATTAAATAGTGATAGGAAAAATAAACTGCAGTTGGAAATGAAATGACTAGACTCTTATGAACCTCTAGGGTAAGCGCTTTCTTGTCAATTTATATACATATATATATGTTATAGTCCGGGGTATTAGAATCCATACCTGAGCATCGTCGTACTTGGAGTCTGATTTCTTCAGTTTTTCTTCAGCCATTTTCGTCTTTTCCGACGCTTTCTTCGTTTTTTTTTTAGCAAGAGAATCTTTTGGATCGTACAATTCATAATGTACTTTATCTGCAGAGAATTGTTCGCGAACAACGATGTGTTCTATCAGGCGACACTCGCCATCCAAAATGAAGTGTACGTAGTTGACCATTCCCTTGCAGTCGCCTAACAAAACCTTCAATTCAATTATTACAAACGTTGACACTACGTTACATAATTTACATAAATAATTAATAGTTTGCAGATGGAGCGTACTTCGTCGGGTTGAAAGTCCTTCATTCTACTGAGAATGCAACATTCTCGTATGGCTTCTGCATCCCACGACTTGAAGTAATTGAAATGGACCAGCGCATCCTGCAGGACATCCCATTCTTCCATCAAATAGCAACGCAAAATCTCGTCGAACTTGTCGCGAGGTATAAAGAGTAAATCTACAGTAGCTACAACAGTGGCCGGTAACAAAATAACTTTGCCAGTGTCTAACTTTTTCGAGGATACATACTTTTCGAAGTCACAGTTGCATTTCTGGGTACAGTGTGCAATAATGCAATTTCACCGAATATGTCTCCTGCTGTCAAAACGCCCATGTCGACTTCTTTCGACTCGCCTGGATGCATTTAAATAATGCTAGTATTATAAATAAGTAGAGAAAATAACCAGACGTTTAAACTATTTACCAGTCCAACGATCGGTGACTATTCTGGATATACTGACTTCTCCTTGTATAACAAAATAAAGATTATCCGCTTGTCGACCCTGTCGCACGATCACGCGATCTGGTCTCAAGTATTGGTACATGCACGTTCCTGTTAAAGATTCTCTCAGATGATCTGGATATTTTCTAAACGCGCGGAATTTGTTGAACAATTGCAATATGTACTTCCTTTCCTTCTCTGTTCTGTCTCTTGGGTCCGTCAACAAGTTGGAACGATCCTTGCAAAATAGTATTCGATTTTATCTTTTATACAAATTGTAATATTCTTTATATTTTTTGCAGGGGAAAAGGAGTGGTAACTGGTTAATAACTGCCTCATTAAATAGTGATAGGAAAAATAAACTGCAATTGGAAATGAAATGACTAGATTCTTATGAACCTCTAGGGTAAGCGCTTTCTTGTCAATTTTCTTCTGCTGCGCCATTCTAATGTTAACAGCAACATCGTCGCTAATTTCTTCAATTGTAGGTTCTTCTGTTAACCACTCGATGAACTCCAGGACGAGCCTGACAGTTGCTCGGAAGAGGTAGATTCCTCTCAATCTGATAGGCTATTCGTTTTATCGTCATTAGTGGTAACCACGGTTAAATTTTACTTTGACGGACCTAAGGGTCGAAAATGCCACTTTTAACTGCTCGTAACTTCTGTACCAGTGGATTCCTCCCATTAAGACTAGCATTTCCGGATTTTTCTCGACAAAATCTATAGAATTACGTAAAAGAAACTAAACAATTTTAGGTCCGCCAAAGTAAGGTGCACCCGCAACCACAATAAAACAAATGTAATTTAACCATGTAAATTTCACTTACTCTACTCAAAATCTCTGATCTCCTCGCCAATATTTCCATAAACGACTCCCGCAGGGAGATTCTTCTGCCTAGCACCATTTTCTGTTTTATTTCAATTAATCGCAAGCTGTAAACGTGCCAATTTCAAATATTGATAATATTCCCATAATCGAAAGCGTATAAAATTACTTTGCGATGTCATACGAACTGAGAAGTTGAATTTACGTGGCGTGTACCGAATGTACGTGCAATGTTTTATCGATAACGCGACGGGAGATTGAACATGCGTGGAGTGAAATTTGCTTCAGACAGTTTGGCTGAGAAAATGATAACTATGTACACATATGCCAAGTTTTTTATTTACTGAAAATATAACGGACTACTTTAACAATGCTACATGCTACTTTTATGAACGAAAGTAGACGTTAATACGTCTTTATTGGAAGACGACGTTTACTTCATCTTTACTTTTCTCTAACTTCCACTTCCATTGTGGCGGTACTAATTATCTTATTGTTAGATTTGATGTCGCATTCGCCCGTGTAATCGCCATCGTCCAAGTCGCTGAACCACGAGCTCAAGTCGCATTCGGAAAGTCTATGCTCACCCTAAATAAATAAAAATCATGGCTATGTAAGCAAATAATTTAGAAGATATAGAGTTACTTTTGACATCGGTAACAACTATATTTCTTCTTGTTAGTTGTTTTGAATTTGTAGAAAACATAACAATAATATATGTGGGCAGTAGGCCTTTTGGTCGGAGCTATATTTAACAAAACGACCCTTAATTTTCTTACCTCGACTGCGGAACATGATTTGTCATCAGGTTCTTGGGTGTCGACTGAATTACATAAGTTCTGACTTTTCACAATCTCGAATGGCTGGTCCATGTTTTGCACGAACTTGTTCACTATGATTCCGTCTTTGATTAGTCTTATTTCGGCCTAGGATTCATTTAATTATCTCAAAATTTACGTGCAACGAATAGTAATCGATATAGAAATATGTTATACATATAGCGATACCTGTATCATAGGTGGACAATTTTCTTTAACTTTGATCTCCGTATCAATCTGATTGTTCGAGAGACTGGTTGTCCAAGACTCAACTGCCGAATTACCATCGGAAACATCTGTTTTCACGCTTTTTATCTTGACATCCTTTTCAGCCTAATCAATGCCAAGAAAATATACTTAAACTATATACTATAAAATTGAATTATCAAATCTATGTGTAAAGTATTCTTCTATGTTTAAAGTTTCATTTTTTAATTTGGAAGCTGATGTTCTTGAAACTTAATTACTAATTCAACTGTATTTTTACAGGCAAGGTACACCAGAATCATGGTGGAAGCAACAATTGGACTCACCCCAACGCACGACCACGAGGCAACGGACAAAACAAGTATTAACAACATTTTTGCAAGAAGAGACTGCATTGCAACCATTTAATCCGAAGTAGCTTGGTAGTTACAAACAAAATATTACTGTTGTCAACGGTTCTCTAGTATTTAAGCAGCTAAATTAATTAGTGTGAGTTACATCTTCACGGCAATTAATTATTGTACGAGAATAGACCACGACCAAATGCGGTTTATCGATGGCTCGGTGGAAATGAATTGTTTCCATCAATGGTTGCGTGACACCTTGTCGTGGGAAATAAAATTATGTGGGTGGGAAAGATACTCTATTATACAAAACAAAAAAAGCGCAAAAGGAGATCCCGATCTCTGATTCTGTTATACATTACGCAACGAATGTAACGCACACCGTGGTGCTATTGGATTTTATACATAATTAGGGGTTTTCAGGGTTTCCTAAAAGGGACATTAAGATATTTTATTATTTAATAATAATTACATGTGACGCTTCTTTCAAGAATTGCGATAAATAGACTGTGAATATAAACTTGTATAAACATCCGCAGTCTAGCGATAAAGTTATAAATGATGATGAATGGATAGTTTCGTTACAGAAATTATATTCTAATGTAGAACAAAAAGTGATATCCATGCCCGAATCGCTAAGACCGTGAAAAGCTTCATTGTGAGTTGGACAATAGAATCAAATAGATAAGAACTTGTCATTGTTACTAGGTATATGGCGTCAATCTCTGTACGAACTAAATTTCATATTGTTTATATTCGTAATCATTTTGAGAATATGTAGATAGTTGTTATAGAATACCTAGATTGTTACAATTACTACATTTTATAAGAAACATGTAGAGAATGTATTAGATATAAGACTAATACAAATGTATAGTCAGGAGAGAGTCAACTAGTAAGTCAGCATATTATTTTTTTAAATTACTTTTATCAATAAGAAGTAAAAAAATAAAATCTAAATCTAAACTAAAAGAGCTTTGCATCTGTGTAACAATATTACCATTGTAATTACATACGCTAGATAAAACGAACAATATTGGAATAAAGTTGAATACATTTTACCTGTGGGCCAATAAACATATTAATAACAATTATCCTTTATTTATCATAAATTTATGGTGAATAAAATTCCTTGTTTTACAGGGCTACAATATATTGAATTTTATTATATTTATTATAGTTGAATATATAAAATTTACATTTATTCGATTAGTTAATTAATTTAACAATAAATTTTTTTCACTTAGTGGCGCCATCTAGTAAATACAAGGGGAATTATATTTGCTATAAACTTGAGGATTTTCTCACCGATGGCGCCACTGTTGTATTTATGACGTCATTTAACACAAGAATAATAACTATTTATACTACAAACTTAATTACAAAATTAAATGAAACATTCTACACAGTAACAAATTATTTTAATATTTTATTCAATTAATAGGTATTCGTACTTTACAATTAATCATGATTGCAATGTCCATATATACATTTAAATATCTGTTCAATACAAATTTATTATTCCCTCAGAATTAAACCGACAGTATAAATACGAAATAATACTTAGCTTAAATTACTTCTTAAGAAAACTATATAACATGAAATAATAACCATGAGATAGTTTTATGGAAAATTTATAAATTATATTTGATAACACGATTAAAAAGATAATGGAAAACAAAGGTTAGGTATAATTTAATCGCTTTTCTTATCACCACTCGACGCAGAACATTTGGCATGTTCGTCGCACAAGCGTTCATATTCTTTAGCAAGCGACGCAGCTTGCGTCTTTATTGCTTCTTTGTCTTTCTTTTCTTTGGTGATTTGATTCTCAAATTCTTGATTCTTTACTTGTAATTCCTTAAGCTGATTTTTCAATTCGGATACAGCTTTATTGTGTGCCTGATTCGAATCATTTTGCGCAGATTCTTCGACTGTTTTTTGGGACAACAAGCTTCTCGCGGTTGTTGTTGCGGACTGAGCTTGTCGCATAGCCGCTTCGCTCTGTGCTAATAGAGTAGCTTGCGTGGAAATTAGGGTCACAAGACGCCGTATAACAAGCCATAAGAACAACGCGAAACCAGATATATAAAAATTCCTTTGAGCTCTAAACAATCTCATGTTACCTATGCAAAGTGATAATAAAATTATAAATAAGAGGGACACGTACATAAATTTTAATGTCATTAAAGAAATGTCATATATACCTTGCATTTCTGCATCCAAATGCGCATGTTCCCCTCCATGTTCAATTGAGGAATATTTGTGCATTTCTCTAATAGCATCCAATAAAAATAAAATTAGTACAGCAAGCAGAATTAGGAAATACGCAGATGCTTGATTACTTAATGTCTGCAGAATTCTAGACTTAAAGATCTTTTGCCATCTAGTTGGAGATGCGATTGGCAGTACTAATAGTAGTACCAAAGCAATTTCTCCATATAGAAACCCTGCGATCAGCGCCCACTGTAAACTCATGATGGTTGTGTTTTATATTTATGTGGATATCTAGAAAAGAAATAACATAAAATTTTTAATATTGACTTCTGGACTTGTAGTAACAATTAAGATTACATAATACAAGTAGTCCTGTTTATGTTCTAATTATAGAAATAAATTATCACTGAGAGTCTCCAAAAAAATGAAGAGGGTTTTCTTACTACAACCTTTGTTAACGTCTATTATTAACAACATAGTTTCATTTGGAGATTTGATATAACCTATATATACAGACACTATGACACATGATATCATCAATGTTTTTAACTCGATTGTTTTAAATAAAATAACAATTATAAGTTTCGATATATAAGAGTATTCCTAAACAGTTATTTCGAAAGAAATGAGTATGAAAATATTAAGTAAAAAAGAAAGTGTTATAATGTTCTCTCCAGGTTATGTAGTTTTTATCGATGACTATACATATTTGGATCATTCATAATCATATTTACATATTTAAATCAATAATTAAAGAATATATTTAGAAAGTGAACTCACAATTGGGACACGTATTTATAGTATATTTAGATCATTTCTAAAGGGAATGTTGAAAGTTGGCCAAAAATGATTGAAATTTCGTATTAAACATAGAAAATGCAGCCACAATTTTGACGGTATTCTCCAAAATGTTTGCTCGAAGTAAAAGAATTATAGCATGTATTGCGATGAAAATAGAACAATGTGTCAAAAATATACATACCGGTAACTGGTAAAAGTCACAGATAATGCGTAAGTTCAAAGTCCTGTGTTAACGTCGCAAATTTTATAAATATACCTCTTTATGTGACGTGGTGTGACGGTACTTTCACATTTACAATGAACTGTATATATGAGGAACTATAGGAGAGACTGTTAGGGAAAATTTCCACGAAAATTCCTAGCTGCTAGGGATTGGAAATTGAAGTCGTTTGTTTTCACAGAATTCTATACTCAGGGCCGGTTTTAGCGATATTTGGGCCCTGGGCAAGATTAACGTCGCACCCATTCGGATGTTACAATTTTTAAGAAAAAAGGACAAGGTAATAATATCAAACGATGAATCTGTAGTTGGATTGTAAAAATTGTTAAACTACATGGCATGAAAAAATATCGGTATACGCGAGTATACTGGTGGAGCGACCGCGGTAGCGTATGAGCGAAGCCGGCTAGCGCGTAGCCTACGCTCCACCGGCATACTCGCGTTTTGATTGGTCAGTGTTTTCCGTTAATATCTCTTCCACGAAGCCTCGGACAACATTTTCGCTAAGGAAAAAGTTGTTTCAAATCACCTCCCTAACCGCCCCTTTCAAGGTGTTACAACATTTTTTAGTTACAACAAATGTGGCATTACCGAGTGCCCCGGGCGCGCCCTCCCCTAACCCCCGGCCCTGTCTATACTCTTCGACTATACAACTTATATAGTAAACATCTACACTATACATATAGTTTAGATATCTGTGGCTCCACACTGCCAATTACTATTCATCCCTTTTCATTCGGCTCCGAAGAATTCGGGATTGAGGTGGTTCCAATTCTTCAAAATGCGTTACATCTCATTTGTGACCTTGTTTTATCGTTTGTGATTACCGCAGTAGATCGAACCCATTTTGTATTAATATTAAAAATACATTGATTGCCACATAAGATCGTTTAAATAGCGATATAATTTACAAGTTTATTTAAACACTAATTGTAGCCGCATCTGTCCTTTTCCAAACTGCTTATATTACAGACTACAATTTATAGTTTACACGCTGGTTCTTGCGATCACGTGTTTGTCACGGTGACATTGAAGCAGAAGACTCGGATTTAACAAGGAAACATGTAAGTTATTGCATAATCTATTTATAGGTTACCCATTTCGGAGTCGGTCATTTAAATTTTTATGAATGAGAATTTTATGAATGTTGTGTTTTAACAGTTAACGTGTGTTACAGAAATTACGAGACACAATGGGTAATTTACTGACATCCGCTGTGTCTGCAGCTGATGTAATCATGCCAGTACCTCAGCAACAAGTTTCAAAACACCACTCTGGAATTCATAAATTTGAAGGAGAACCTCCACCGGAATGTCCTATGCATAAACAATCTGAAAAACCACCTGCTAAATACACCAGCGAATGTCCTATAGATCACATGAACCCGGATGAAATTAATCCGCTCAACATGGTTCGTTAACACTTTTAGTGTACATGTAAAGTTAGAGCAAAGTACAACAGAAATTTCTATTAAATCACAGATGCCTGCCGCCAACCAGCAACCAGCCCCGGATCAACCTTTCCCATTACCTACAAACAGACAAGTCTCATCTATACCAAAGGCAACGGAAGAAAAAGAGTTTTGGGTGTACCCCTCTCAGCAAATGTTTTGGAATGCGATGTTAAGGAAAGGCTGGCGCTGGAAGAACGACGACATTTCGCCTAAAGACATGGACGATATAATAAAGATTCACAATGCAAATAATGAACAGGCATGGCAAGAAGTACTCAAATGGGAAGCGCTTCACGCTAAAGAGTGCGACTGTCCGAAGCTGAGGAGTTTCGGGGGCAAAGCCACCCAGTATTCGCCGCGTGCGCGTATTCGACATTGGATGGGGTAAATTTTCTATAACGTACCAAAGTAATGATTTATAAGATGTTAAGTAAATGTATGTTCTTTTAGGTACGAATTGCCGTTCGATCGTCACGATTGGATCGTAGACAGATGCGGGAAGAACGTAAGATACGTTATAGATTATTACGATGGCGGCCAAGTGAATGAAAAATACACGTTCGCCTTGCTGGACGTGAGGCCTGCTATGGACTCTTTGGAAAATATTTGGGATCGTATGAGGGTGGCTTGGTTGCGTTGGAGATACTGTAACGAATCAAAGGAGTCGGAGTGCGCCGCAAAACCTAACGAAGCAAATAGTTAGAAAGTAGATAGAAACGAAAAATGTTAGCTTCCTCGTTACGCGTTCATTTTACAAACTGAACGTTACGTTCAAAGAATGTACAGTCTTTAAAAACCAGAAGAGAAATTGTAGTGAAACCAAAGAGATATTTAAACGAAAGACGCGCATTGCTCATGATATTTTTTACTACTTTAAAAAATATGTTCAGCCTTGCAAGGAATTATACAAACTTTGGACGTCTGACACACATCGATAAAATAATAGTACTATGAATTAGAAATTACTGTACATTTAATTTTACGTTACTTCTAATACAACTTCACTTCGAGTTGATCTCAAAAAATTTAGAAACGGTATACAATTTAGAAGAGGAATTTCTGTATTAGTTAAATGTATATTAAACGCATTACAAAATGGTATGCGTTAAACGGTGCTCGTTGAACCGTTCGCGAACCTACACTGTATAAATATGTATATATAATTACATAATACATAAGTAATGTACATCGATTGCTTAAAAAATGTTTGATACATATATAACATTGGGTATTATATCGATACATGTGCAGCAATAATATTACATGGTTAAAAAACTATATCAATTATAGAGTATTTAATATTTTTATTTCGAATATTAATTTCACAATCGTATCCCATTGTTTAGCGAGAATTTTATTTCTTTTTTATTATCAACAATACGGCAGGCAAACCGCCAATTCCCATGTCTCCTTTAACAATGTTTCTTAATAGTTAATGTAAAATCAATAAAAAGCTCCGTAAAAATATCGGTTAGGTATCGCAATATCAGTTCAAATGATCACACCACCAGGCTGGAATAGAATATGCAATCGCGTTGATCAGTTGAAGTAATATACGTACGTTTCTTGTCAATATCTTCGATTACTTTATCGATTAAGAAACAGAATCGGAACTTTTCTGTACAATTGACGCGTTAACTATCTATCTACACTCTATAAAAGACATAAAAACGTGGGTCTCTCTTAGTATTTCTAGATAGATGTATGGGGTAGATAGCCAGAACAATTTTTTGAACCGCAAAGACAGAGGGTGTCGCTGAGATCATGAACGGAATTAGCAACTCCATCGGCATAATTAAAAGTTATCTCCTCGTCGATTTCTATACATCTACATGCAAACAAACATAATCGAGGCACCACTCCTTCGACTCTGATAGGCACTAGTTTAGCGTTCGGTTCGCAGCTATGATTCGAGTACCGGCCGATGTTACCAAAATATTTAGGATCTATACACGTAACGATAATTCGATCGCCAATATGTTCCGAAACCACGAGAACGTAATTCATGCTATCCTTATGCGCTTCGACTCTGCGTCGCGCTTCTTCTATACTGATCGCTTCACCGGCGTACTCGCAAATGAATTGGCCTTTCTTGATCGACTTGGTCGTGAACAGACCGAATCCTTTTCCTCCGACTTCCGACACGATTAAACTATCCAACGGTCCGTTCTGTACCACTCTATTACCGCAAGCTTCCCTACAGTTGCAGTGGGAGTTGCACTCGATTATTGGCCCTGCTAATTTCTCGTCCAATATCTGACCGTTAATATAGTTAGGGGAACCCCGAGTACATGAGCAATCGGAGCACTTGGCTACGCAAGAACAACCTAGCGAGTACTCGGACTCGAAATCTTCTAGATTCACACCTGGGCCTGGTATGTTATTTACTACGTACATCACGCTCGGTATCTCGTGCTCGTATTCGTCTGCGCGAGCAGTTGCTTCCATGGTTACCAAACATTTACGCCAACGAAAAACCCCAAAATCTTTGAAAGACACTTTAGGGACGGGCAGCAGAAAATAAAGGGCAAATTTTGTTTTCGATAAGGACGTGCTGTACTAGTTTCAGCTCCTATAAATGAAATTCCAGTTGATTTACCGTTCGTTAAAATTCTGTTAGTTAAAATTCGCCACTGACCTTCAATGTAAAATTTTATATCCCACGTAGATAACCACGCTCAATAACGAGACTTTGGTAGTAAACTGTAATATTTTGGTCGATAACGCTTGAGGAGGCACGCTGTAACCAAGAACGAGAACATGCTTACCCGTAACGAGAAATTATTTACCCGTATCCACAAATAAAATACCTCATGAGGGGTGGTATATCTGATTGCTTCACTTTTCCCCAATGTTCCATAATTCCCGAAGTGTGGCCTATTCCAACGACTCCCACAACTCGAGGTTGTATTATCCCATTCGCGGTAAGTTTAGGCAGACACGCTTCTTGAAGAGAGTATGTGAGACACAAGTCCCTTTCTGTCACGAATACTTGCTCAACCGCTGGGAACTCTTCTTTTAGTTTGCTAATAAAATCGCTTACTACGCCTCGTTGCTTACAAGTTTCGACGAATTCCTTATTAATGTGGCCATCTATATGTATCAATTGCCACGTAAGCTTTATAATTTGCCACCAAGACAACAATCTCACTACGCGTTGAATTGTCGTTTTGATTGGCCTGTCCGACAATTGAACGACGCAATTTGGAATCTTTTTTGCCTCTTGAAATGCAGTACGAAATTCACCGCCGGGTGCCATACCAAGATCCTTGGTAACGTGGCTCAACATTCTTAACAACAAGATACGCAACAATCCATTGGAAGTTCCATATTCTTTTATCGTTTGAATAATGTGTTCTATAAGTAGAATACACGTGAGAAATAGAATACACAGAATATACATTTAAGTAAGAAATAACAGGAACTCACCGTAAGTTAGAGTATTGGCATATTGGTACAGGTCATCCTCGTTGT